AATACATCACCAAAACAGTCTCACCCGATGAATAAGTGGCGTAGGCCGCAAACAGACGAGTCACTTTGGTATTTTGTTTCAGAGAGGTACGGTAGAGGGATCAAGCTTGCAGGGGCACGCTGATGCGGACTTTGCAAGCAAGGCAGCAGACCGTAGGTCGGTATCAGGGGGGATCGTGACTTGTGGAGGAGGCGCTGTGTCTTGGTTTTCCAGAACGCAGAAGTGTGTCACGCTTTCGACCACCGAAGCAGAGTACGTCGCCCTAGGTGACGTAGTGAAGGAGATTTTGTTTTTGAGGCAGATTTGGCGTTTCATGTTGCCGCAGGTCGGCATGCCGTGNTAGGTGACGTAGTGAAGGAGATTTTGTTTTTGAGGCAGATTTGGCGTTTAATGTTGCCGCAGGTCGGCATGCGGTGCATCCCCATCTTCGAGGACAACCAGGGGCCGATTCAACTAGCGCAGAACCCCATCTCAAACTCGAACTCGAAGCACATGGATGTACGGCACCATTTTCTCAGGGAACTGGTAGAGAGGAAGGGAATTTCGGTCATCCACGTGCCGTCGCCGTACCAGCATGCAGACTTTCTTACGAAGAGCTTGTCGAAGGATCCTTTCGAATCCCACCGTGATTTTGTGATGAATTTGGCAGGAACATTTTATTGTTTTTCTGATGGGTTTGTGTTTTGGTCTTGTTCTCTTTCCCGTTTTGTTTCATTTCCCGCGCCAAGTATTTGTTAAGCGCGATGCTGCATTCATATTTCATTGAATTGTTTTTCTCTCCTATATGATTCTGGTCAAGACTTCATGGTATATATTATGGGAAAGACGTCTTTTGGTTGAGATGTCGGGTGTTAGCGAAGTTTTCAGCTGTTGCGAGCAGGGGGGATGTTAGATATACTCCCAGCAGTATCTGGTCGTGAGGATCCCAGGGGGACACGTGTTGGTAATTTCGTGTGTTGAAGGGTACCATCGGCGCAGTCACGGGGACCCTTTGGGCGTGGTAGGTGAGATGATGAGGAAGGCTTGCGTGCGTGCTGCGCACTTCCTGTTCTTCTTGCTGTTGTTCCCTCTCTCTCCACCACCACCGTCTCTCTCCAATCAAGTTTCCTTCTCCCACTCTCTCTTCAACTCTCTCTCACCCTCTCTCTCTCGGCCTAACACGGCCGACTACCCAGTGCCCCAAAGTAACGTCCAGAACGTGCTTGCTGCACCCCGCGTAGTTTACCTTTCACTGTACGTCCTATCTATTTTTCCGAGCTCAGTCACGTACACTTCCCTCTCCTTCTTGTACCATGGACGTTCCGCGATTACATGAACACGGTCTTCGCATTCGAAGCCGCAATCACATTTGAACTCGTCGTCTTCGTCGTCTACCGTCCTATGTCTTCGTCGACGTTCTCGAAGGCCTATGTCCCCGGTCCTGAATTTGACCTTAAGCTTTGTTCCTGCATCCATTGGTCCATGTAGGTA